GGGGGGGGGGGGGGGGGGCAAAGGGTCGCCAAAATAATATCCGGAAAAAAATTTTCCGGAAAAGTTTTTTTAGATAGGGCCCCCTAAAAAAAAATTTGCCTCGGGCCCCCGCCAACCTCTGGGCGGCCCTGATTGCAAGGGACGGACTGCAGCCTCCAGAATAATTGAAGTTGGGCAAATGGAAAACGTAAGTTGGGCAAAAAGATAGGGGGGGGGGATTAAAAGCCAGAAATATATAAGACAATATTAATAGTCGAAACCATGATCCAAAAATTTTAGCCCTTCGAAAGTTTTCCATCATCCCCCCAACGTCGGCAAGCATTTTGAGAATCTGCTAGACCAATCTGTATTTGACCACGGGTAGAACGTAACAACAAGTACTTATCAGTAGTTTCATAATTATTCAATAAAGCGGTATATTCAGTCACTTTGAAACTCGAAAATACAGAACAAAAGTGACTTCCAATGACTTTCTCTGTAATACAATATAGACTGACAAAAGTATATGTCAATTTGGCTTTGAGCCCGAATTCGGAGCCCATCCCCACCCCATCAATCATCATGCACCTTTCGAAAACATGTTCGTTTTTAGTCCTGAACACTAAAAATTAGGGGGGGGGGGATTATTTACAAACCAGACATAAAGATTGAAAATCTTTTTATTATTAAAGCAAGATACAATAATTAGTCTTACATACAATAGTAAAATAGTCATGAAATTCTTATAGCTTGCAACAACAGCGTTCTGTTAAAGATGAGCTTTTAAAAGACATATGATATATAAAAGTAAAAAAGTTCTATCAGTTTTCAGCCTTGGAAAATACTAGTTCTCGTGTACCCAATTCTGTAATTTGAATCTTCACGCGAGGGTTGCCAGGAAATAATTGAAACTTCGTTGACCTTGTGGCTTGAGTAGTTGCTTCAAAATCGTCTCCTTCTACGATGTCATCAATGTCGGCAATGTAGATAACAGGTTTAATGTCCAGGTAAACAGAGTCAGCTGGTCGGACGTCTTTGAAAGAAACAATTTTTCTACCATTTTTAAACAAAGCCATTTCAAGTGGCTGCGCGTTACCAGCTTTATTGTTGACCTTGATTCCACCTTTTGGTTGCGAGCCAACTTTAATAGCATTTGGTGCACTAGCAGCATCCGTTTGGGTAACGTCGACTTCGTCGCCCAATTTGACGTTGAAAGGGCCTGATGTTCGGGGATTGTCAGCTGTCTGGTCTATCACAAAGAACTCGACTTTCTCTGGTAAGGTTATTGGACCCAACGAACCAGGATATTGAACATCTTCAACTTTCCAGGCGGTGGAATAGCTGTTGGCTTTGAGAGGATCTGGGAGTGTTTGGAAGAGCATTACCTTCACGTGCCTTCCAGGTGTTCCACTGTCACCTGTCTTGTTCTCAATGGTGATTTTAAAATCTCCCATTCTGTTTTTAATATGCAATACACTGAAATTTTCGCTTCCAAAATCGTTTTTAATGTTCAACTCACGCGAATGGCACACTATATGAAAAGTTCAAGGACCTTCACGCTCATATAAATAGTGTTCTTGATGATCTGGATCTGACCAATGATAGTAAATGCAACCATAAAAGGCAGTCCTCACATGCACGTCTGACCAATCGCAGCTTGCACTTGAAAACCCACACCCACCAAGTGGTTGTCCTATAATATTTCAAAATTTCAAAATATTTTAATCTACGTCAGTAGAAAAGTTATGTTATTAAATTCAAAAACTTCCTATTTTGGTGGCAATAACACTATTTCTATTTTGGTTGGCAATAACACTACTTCCTCAAACTTGCAGTGAGGGTGCATGGAGTCACTATTTCTGTGTGATAAGAAAATCTTTTTGTGTTAGTTGTAATAAAGGAATACCGAATGGTTTTCCGTGCAGGATTGCGTGATCCATGCACGAGGGATGTCGCGAGACTTTCGGAAAGCGTAAAAATAGCAAAATTGTATAGCTTGCTACAAGTGCGGATTTTATCTGTAGCCTATAATGCTATATATACGTTGTTCAGCTAGTGCATTGGATCACCTAAAAATTGGCTTCTGGCCAATTCTTGAATCAAATTAATCCATATATATATATATATATATATATATATATATATATATATATATATATATATATATATATATATATATATATATATATATATATATATATATATATATATATATATATATATATATACCGGGTGGCGCAAAAAAAAGTATAACTGTTTGATTACATATAGCTCAAAGACCATAAGCAGTAGAACCCGAAATCGAGTTTCATTGCATCCAGCGATGTCTAACTTAAATTTTGGTATATTCGACAGGCATTTTCGTCCAAGATTGACTGAGATATGAGTGTTTAAACTTTTGTTAGCAAATTTGAAACGGTCACAAATTAGCTAAAAACGGCCTATTAAGCTGATTTTTAGCTAATTTGTGACCGTTTCAAAATTGTTAACAAAAGTTTAAACTCTTATATCTCAGTTAATCTTGGACGAATATGCCTGTCAAATATACCAAAATTTAAGTTAGATATCGCTGGATGCAATTAAACTCGATTTATGGTTCTACTGCTTATT